ACGACGACAACGACGAAGGAGGGAGGACGGTGACGACGCGAACGACGACGAAGGAGGAAGGACGGCGACGCCGACGACGACAACGACGAGGGAGGAGGGAAGACGACGACGACAACGACGACGACGACGGCGACGACATAGGAGGGACGACGATGAGACGCCGACGACGGACGACGACGACGACGTGGGAGGAGGAGGAAGGACGACCACGGCGACAACGACGATGGAAACGACCACGACGCCAAAGAGGACGACGACGACAAACAGGAGAAAAGACAGAGGACGACGTAGGCGACGACGACGACGACGCGGGAGGAGGGAGGACGGCGACGACGACGACGACGACGACGCAAGAGCGCGCGCGCACGCTTTTGTTGAAAATCCGTGTTGCGAAACCTTGGGTTCTTGTAGGTTTTTTGGACGCACGATTTTGAAATCCTTCCGAAACCGATGGGTTTCGAAGGTTTTCGGCATACGTCCGCGACGACGCGCGCGTCTGCACTTCGTCCCATTTTTTGCAGAGGATTCTCGCGACGGCACACGCGCAAGGGCGTTCGACAGATTTCGACATGCGCGCGCGCGAAGCCCGTTTGGTAGCATTTTGTGAAAATCTTGAAAAAAAACGATGGTTTTCTTAAGATTTCGCAAGAGCTCGCGCGGAATCCCACCAGCCCTCTGGGCGTAGGTGGTCTAGAGCAGATCCTCTTCCACCCCTCCCTCTTCCCCCTTGGGGAGGGGTTTACCCCTCCCCCTACCCCCTCCCCTGGACCTGGACGGGGGGGGCCGCGGGTAGTTAGAGCGTCCAAGATGGCCCAAGACGGCTCCAAGAGCGCCTCAGAGAACCCAAGATGAGCTCCAAGATGGCTCAAGATAGCGCAAGATCGCTCACGATGGCTCCTAAGATGGTTCCAAGAAGCCCAAAGACGGCCCCAAGATAACTCCAAGTGGCCAAACAGCTCCCCAAGGAGGCCCCGAAGAGGCCAAAATCGTCCCAAAACCTAAGGAAAATCAATGATTTTTGCTTTCTCGCCTTTTCGCTTCCGATGGCCATCCGAGGCCTGGAGATGGCTCCAAGATGGCCCAAGAGGGCCCCAAGAGAGCCCCAAAAGAGCCCCAAGACGGCCCCAAGAGCGCCCAAGAGCACTCCAAGAGCGTTCCAAGAGGGGTCCAAGAGGCGATTTTAGGGGCTTCCGAGGGGGGACGCTAATTAAACCCCCCCTCTTGTTTGATCGACTCCCTCCAAGATGGCCCCAAAAGCGCCCCGAAGGCTCCCCAGAGCGCCTCAAGAGGGTCCCAAGAGGCGCCCAAGATGCCCCAAGGCGCCCAAAAAGCCCTCCAAGAGGCCCTCAAAAGACCCCCAAGAAGCTCCTTCCCCTCCTCCTCCTCCTCCTCCGATTCTTCCTCCTTCTCCGTCCTCCTCCTCCTCCTCCTCCTCCTCCTCTCCTCCTCCTCCTCCTCCTCCTCCGACGACGACGACGACGACGACGACTCCTCTTCCATCCTCCCCCTCTCGGGGTCTGTGACAGCTTCCCCCGCCCTTTGTTATTCTGCATGCTCCCCGACTTCCCTGATCACCTCAACTCCCCTGAGCATCGTTTCTGGATGGGCTGGTGGGGATACGCGAAGCGTCAACAATATTTTTAGCAAACCAGTGTTGCGAAACCATGTGTTGTTGTATGTTTTTCGGAAACTCGATTGCGAAATCCTTCCGGCACCGAAGGTTTTTGAAGGATTTCGGCATGCGCGCGCGATGACGCGCGCGTGTGCACTTCGTCCCATTTTTTGCAAGGGATTCGTGAAAAAAATGTTATGTTAGAAAGAAAAATGTCCCCGCATAGTGTTATTTGACAGGGAACCGCAGGGGGGGGAACCCGGCTTGGCTGGGATGGTATGTGTTCATATTTAGGATGGACATGTGGTCAGAATCATATATGATTTTCAGCACGCGCGGGGGAACCGATAAGTCCGGGGGGGGTAGAATCTATTAGTCTTTTAGACAGGAGAACCCACGTGGTGCAATAGATGCTGCGCGATGTATTGTGCAAGCTACGTCGTGCTGTCTCTATGTGGTGCAGTTCCCATGTGGAAACCGCAGTTGTCAACTCCACGCTCGCGCAATTTGTCTTGCAAAACACGAGCGGCGGTGATTGCCATGAAGGTATGGTGTTGGCTGGTGCATTTATGCGGCCGCTCTAGCACGCGCGTGCACTTGCGCACGGCGGCCAACTAGTTTGGCGAGACCGAAGCGGCCGCGGTGGCGCGGACCGCTGGGCACATCCCAACGGGCACTTCTGTGCGAGTCGGCGACGTGGGCGGGCGCGGTATCATGGCAACGCCGATAACAGTAGACACGATGATCATGGTAACAATGCTGGTGATGATGTTGACAACGACAACGGCACGGCCAGTGACGGCACCGATGCTGATCACGCCGACGACGATGGCGGCGTCCTCGCGTCGGCGATGATGAAGGTTTTAGAACAACTTCGACATGCGGGCGCAGCCGACGCGCGAGTGGCCCGCATAGTGTTATTTGACACGGGCCCAGCCCCCCCCCGACACGCGCGAAAGGGAATTCGAATGATGTCGGCATGCGGCGCGAAGGACCCGTTTGGCAAAATGAAACGAAAATGATGAAGCACCGATGGTGTTCTCAAGGATTCGCAACAGCGCAGACGCAGATGTTGTCTGAAAACTGCCGTTGGGGAGCCCAGGTTGTTCGTTTATTATGGTCTCGCTAAGCTCGCTTGTGTACTTTCTACGAAGCCCGAGGCATTCGACGGGTGTCGGCATCCGCGCGCGACGACGCGCGCGCGCGCACTTCGCCCCACCTTGTGCAAAAGAATTATCGCGACAGCGCGCGCGCAAGGGCGTTTGAACGACTTCGACATGCGCGTGGGAAGCCCCTTTGGTCGCATTGCATGCACATACTAAACAATAACAACACATATTGTCGTGTGAATTCGCATGCGCGCGACGGCTTTGGTTGAAAACCTGTGTTGCGAAACGACAGGTTTCGCCGGATCTCGGCATGCGCGCGCGACGACGCACGCGCGGGCGCATCGTCTCATTGCGAAAAAACGGATGTTAAGCAAATTTTGTTTTTTGTATAAACGAGCGTGCGCGCATAATGACTGTTGCAGAAGATGACGGGGGGTGTCAATACCTGTTGGGCTGGCGTGGTACGAGAGCTCATATTTAGGATGGGCGGTGGAGCAGAACCACATGCAAGTGCAATGCGTAAAGGGGTGCGGATACTCATTGAGAACCTATGTTGTGGGAACCTTTCGTGGCCCCCTCGTGGCCCCGTTGCAGTCCTTCGTGGCCCCCTCGCTCCCCTTCGTGGCCCCGTTGGAGCCCTTCGTGGCCCCCTCGCTTCCCATCGTGGACCCCTTGCATGCCCTTCGTGGCCCCCTCGCTGCCCATCGTGGCCCCGTTGCACCCCGTCGCGGCCCCCTCGCTGCCAATCGTGGCCCCGTTGCAGCCCTTCGTGGCCCCCTCGATGCCGTTCGTGGCACCGAATACGCATCGCATGCCCTTCGCGGCCCCCGCTCGATCGCGCCCTCCATGGCCCCATACGCATGCTCTTCGCGCCCCCGCCGTCGCCCTTCGCGGCCCCTTCGCTGCCCTACGTGGCCCCGCTGCTGCCGTCAGTGGCCCCGTCCTTGCCTCCTGCGGCAAAATGTACGAATGCCCTTCGTGGCCCCCGCTCGTCCGCGCCCACCATGGCCTCATCTGCGCGCGTGCCCTTCGCGGCCCCGCCGTCGCCCTTCGCGGCCCCCTCGCTGTCCTAGGTGGCCCCGCTGCTACCCTCAATGGCCCCGTCGTCGCCCTCCGTGGCCCCGCATTATCTGCCGTTCGTGGCCCCCGCTCGTTCGCGCCCTTTGCGGCCCCATGCGCGTGCCCTTCGTGGCCCCGCTGTCGCCCTTCGTGGCCCCCTTCCTGCCCTTCGGACCTTCGTCGCCCCGCTCTCGCTCTCGCTCTCGCTCTCGCTTTCGCGCGTCGTCGTCTTCGTCTCCGTCGCCGTCGCCGTCGTCGACGTCGTCGTCGTCGTGGTCGGTCCCCTGTCCGCCCCGCTTGGGGTCGGGCTGCCGCCAGTCAGCGCTGCCGCTGGCCAGGTCGACGGTCCGCCGCCGCCCCGCCGCGTGCCGGGGCCTGGCCTGCAGGGAAGACAAAGCTCGCTTCGGCTCCCGGGCCAGGCACCTTTTCCATCTGGGACAGCACAGGGCCAGGCGTTGATTGAGCTAGAAGCGCGAGAGCAGCAGAGACAAAGCGGACGAGGAGCGCGACAGCGCTCGAGAGGACCACCTGCGCGACCCTCACCCGAAAATGAGCGAGAAGGCGTGTCGGGATGGCCGCGGGAAAAACTTCGAGCCAGATATGAGTACGTCCGACCTGTTGCCTCTGCTCAGCCCTCAGTTGTGAAAACTACCAGCTCGCTTCGGCTCCCGGGCCAGGCACCTTTTCCATCTGGGACAGCACAGGGCCAGGCGTTGACTGAGCTAGAAGCGCGAGAGCAGCAGAGACAAAGCGGACGAGGAGTGCGACAGCGCTCGAGAGGACCACCTGTGCGACCGTCACCCGATCCCGAAGGTTCAACTGGCCGCAGGCCGTATATATAAAGAAGAAACCATTCTCGGAGTGCAGGCAAAGTGGGCTATCTCATGGCAAGAGACTGGAGGGCGAGACCAGGCTGAATGTGCAACGCTTCGACGATGCAGCGCGAGGCAGCCTGTGCGAGGAGACGAGGATACACGGCGGCGACAGCAGTGCGCTTTCGCCCTTGCTCATCGTTGCCCTCCAGAATCACATGACGATTGCCCGAGCGACTGCAAATGCCTCTTTTTCCAAAGCAGACAAGTTGTAAAGGGTGCATGGCGCCCGCACCCCAAGACATGATGGTCGTGGCTTTCTTGAAATCAGCGCCGTACTGACACTGATGCAGAACTGACCTTTGGCAGGACGGCCGGCGACACGGGCGAGCGAGGGGAGGGCACGACCAGATCTGCGAGGTCTGTGGATTCTCGAGAAAGACGGGCACACGGGCAGAGATGCACTCACGAATTATGATCACTGTCATTCGCAGCGTGGCATTGCCTGCGGCGGCGCGAGCCTGCTCAGACGATGAGAGGTCGGGCAGCCCGAACGGGTAGCGGTCCGACCTGAGCGGGCGCCGCAACGCTCGCGTCCAGCTGGTGCAGGGGGTGCCCAGCCAGACGGCACCCACCGCGCGCGACCGGATCCTGCCGACGACGGTGGCGATGAAGGCAGGCAACACATGATCCTCCAGTGAGCTGCGCTGCCAGTCGAGCCCAAATGCGGCGACGCCGCGGGCAAGCAGCGCCTCGGCGATCCTGCCGGCACCGCAGAAGAGCTCCAGCACGGGGCGGCGCCTGAGGGCCCGGCCTGGCGCGGCAGCGCGGCGATGCTGCCGATGCAGGTGCCGCTTCACCGCGTCCGCCGGCGGGCAGCCGCCGTCGCCGCCTGGGCCGCGGGCCGCTTGCGTGGGCGACCACCGGCGGCCGGCTGCCTTCCCTGAGGCAGCGGGCGGAGGAGCGACGCGGCGGCGGCCGGGACGCGGCCAGTCGCTAGCCAGCCGGGCAGGCAGCCGCCGACCAGCGCCTCCAGGTTGCTCTCGACGAAGGCCCCGAGCTCCATCACCTCGGGCGGGATCCAGGCGAGTTGGTCCAAGAGCTTGGTCTCCTTTGTGTAGCGGTTCAGGCTCTTGGCTGTCCGCCAGCGGCCGCGCCGCTGGATCTCGCCCAGCTGGCGCCTCTGGGAGAGCATGTCGTCCGAGGCCCCCCCGCGGCGCAAGCTGTGCAAGTGCGGGCGAAGCCGGTCCAGCGACAGCCGACGGCAGGCCTGAGCGAACAGCGCGCCCAGTCGGCCCACCTCCTGGCCCCACAGCGGCTCCGACGGCGCTGTGGACTGCTTCAGAGCGTGCAGCAGCGGGTTGAGCCAAGCCTCGCGATCGAAGAGGATGCTCTCGTCGTTCACGCCCGTCTTGCCTGGCCCCTGCCCGCTCTCGTGCAGGAGCAGCCCGAAGAACTGGTAGCCGGCGCCCGCCGCCTCCGACGGCGATATCAGATGCCGCCCGCGCAGCTTCGCCGCCTCGCCAGGCCTGAGGTACGAGGCGAACATGACGAGGATGCAAATGGCCAGCCGTGGGAACCCGTCGTGGACCAGGAGGCCAGCCAAGGCGAACACCACGCGACGCGGCAGTGGCAGCCGGGTGCGCGCAGGCGCGCGCCGCGCCCACGCCGCAGCCGCGCGGTGAGCCCTTGGCAGCAGCAGCGAGGTCCGCTTGTGGAACGAACCGAGGAAGTGCGCCACCGCCGCCAAGAGGACGTTCCCCTGGCTGCCGCCGCCGCCGAGGAGGAACTCGCTGTCCATGTACAGCACCAGCGCCTCGTCCAGGCCCGAGTGCGTCGCCCAGTCCAGGCGGCGCTCGACACAGAAGTCGACGAAACTGGTGAGAGCCCCCCGGTAGAGGCGAGCCGTCGAGCTCCTCGCCGCCAGCCGCTCGAGCAGCGACAGCCCCGCCACCGCCGTCGTCTCCGCCGCCAGCGCTTGCGCACGGCTCGCTCGCTCGGCCCGGAGCGCCGAGGGCGCCGGGGCGGCCGAGCGGCGAGCCGCCGCCGCAGCCTGGGCCAGTGCCAGCACCAGCACAAGCCGCCGCATGGGCGAGCAGCCCGCCTCCAGGGGGCTGCGGCGCCGGCCGACTGCCAGAGAACCAGCCAGCGCGCCCGCGGCTGAGCGCGTCGGAGGGGTTGGCCTCAGAGGGTATCCATCTCACTGCCAGGGTTGAGCCAGTGGCCACGGAGAGCGCGCAGATCTTGCGAAGCGTGCTCTGGAAGTGTTTACTGCGGGCCCGGCCCTTACCGACGGACAAGACGAGTGGCAGGTTGTCGGAGAGGATGAGGAACCGAGACCCGAACGCGGATGTGGACCTCAGGAGGTGCCGATACCCAAGAACGAGCGCTTCCCCCTCCAGAGCCAGGATGTTGGCCCTCCCCTCGATGTACACGGCGGCGACGGAGCCCCAGGCGGGCCCACGGATGAAGTGGGACGGGACCTCGTCGAAGTCCACCACGGGCCTCATGTCCATGATCGACTTGGCGGTGCCCCCAGGAGCCCTCGGCAGCTGCAGCTCGACCGGGCCCTCAGAGGCCTCTCCCAAGACGCCCTCGAACGGCAGGCCCTCGGTGATGCCATCCCCGACGAGCTGAGTACTCACCCCGAAGTCGCCCTCGAGGCTCCCGAACTGCTCGGACGAGTTATCACCGTTGATCTCGATCGTCCTACGCCTCGCCTGCGCACCTCCCTCGACCTTGTACCTCCACTTTTCAGCAACTCTTCCAATGGTGCCCACGCGGTCCTTTGGGGCGCGACGAGCGACGACGCCCAGCCCAAATGGCGAGGCGTCCGTGCAAGCAACTCGCCCGTGCCACGGGGCACCAAGGTCAACAGTGCAGAGCGGCAGCAGGTCGTGGACTAGCTGGAGCTCATGACGGACAGCGGGCCAAAGCGGCGACGCGACTGGCCCAGCGGCCTCGACGTAGGCGTAGGTGGCCCCGAGGATGCACAGCAACTCTCTTCGCAGCAGCAGCGCCCAGGTGAATGTGGCCGGTCAGAACGCGCAGCAAGAAGCCGCTGATGACCTGCCTCCGGAGCGTGGCGCGAATGGCCGCGCGCAACCGCCAGATGTTGCGCGTCCTGAGGCTAAGCCAGCGCCCCTCGCGCAGCGATAGCCCCAGAAAGTCGCGATCCTGGGAGGGCGGCTCGAGCTCGTGCACGGTGAGCCCGTGGCGCGTCAGGTCGTCGGTGATGGCCTGCAGCCGCTCGCTCACAGTCTTTGGGGAGCCGCCGAGGACGAAGTAGCTGTCCACGTAGCCGGCGCCCGCGACCGAGTCCAGGTCGCTCGTGAGCTGGCAGCCGCAGCGGCCGTCAAGGATGAGGTCGCTCTGAGGGAAACCAGCGCGGCCCAACGATGCCTCCAGCACCGTCTGGCAGAGGTGCAAGGCCCAGCTGAAGCCCATCGGCAGCACCACCACCTGGGGCAGCAAGAGCGACTCGCCCTCCACCCCGTCCACAGCGACCCCGTACGGAGCGAGGTGCTTGGCGGGGATGGGCGGCAGCACGAAGAACTCCTCCATCCCGTCCGGGGCCACGTCCAGGTCCGCCGAAGCGATGGAGACCCGCGCGTCGCCCGTCTCGAGCCGCCCCCAGGCGGACGCAGACGGCAGCTGGGTGCGAGGCGCATCGACGAACGCGCAGTTGGCGAGCCGCGTGTCGAAGATAACCCTCAGACGACCACTTTTCTCTGGCACGAAGAAAATCCCCATGTTAACCCGGCGCCCTCGCGCAGGGGCAAACGTCAGCATGCTGCGCTCCACCATGGCGCTGAGGAAGGCAGCGTAGTCGGGCAGCGAGCGCAGCAGCGCAGGGTCCGTGTACGGGCCGCGCGGGCACGCCTCCGCCCGCAACTGCCGCGCCTCCTCGGGCTCGCGGAGCATTTGGCACCTCCACTCCCGCAGCGCGGCAGAGTCACGCTCGCCCAGCAGCCCAAGGAGCGGCGCGGGCGGCTGCGACACATCAGGCCAGGAGACAAGGTCTGGCACGTAAGGAGTGGTGGGCCCGCCGCCGTCAGGGCACAGCGCGGACCCAGCAAGGAGCTCCCGCAGGGCCCCGTTGATGTCGGAGACGTCGTCACGATACTCAGGTGGCTCAGGGCCCAGAGCAGCGACCGAGTCCCAAATGTGGGCGGCGGCACAGCGCTGCCCGGCAGACGGCGTCGGCGCGGGCGAGGACTGGTCGCCGTAGAGGTCATTCAAAGCATGCACGGCAGCATTGGCACGGTCCAGCGCGTGCGCGAAGGCATGGCCGGCCCGAACGCGCCGCCGAGTCCCGGACGCGCGGGGCGCCACGTCAGCAGCAGCCAACAGCGGTAGCGGAAAAATGTCCCGCTGCCGGTCGTCGTCCTGCAGCCGGCGCCCTGCGCCGCCAGGGGAGAAGCCCGCGCTGTTGGCGGGCTCCGCGGGGCCAAGGGGGACGGGGGCGGCGGCTGGCCAGGCCATCCGCCCCGGGGCGAGTCTGCCATCGCCCCCTGCGGCGTTGGGCCCGCCGCCACGGCCGCCGCGGCCGCCGCCGCGCCTCCCCCTTCCGCGCCCTGCACCAGGCTGGCCGGGCACGCCCCCGGCGAGGGCGCGCTCCTCTCGCGCCTTGCGCCTCTCCTTCGCCACCGCCATCTCCCGCTGCAGCTCCTGCGCGAGGTGGTCGCGCAAAGCCGGGCAAACGCGCGCCGACCCGTCGAGCTCCTGCGACCCCATCATGACCGCGCGGTCCGCCGCGCCGGCATCACACGGGGTGACCAACTGGCGGTAGCGCTCCTCCTGCACCTGCACCGAACGGACCACGAGTTCGAGGTGGGCCAGGTTCGCGGCGTGCTCCTGATCGTAAGTCACTGCCGATTCCAACACCATGCGCCCCATCTGGTGGATGTCCACTCCCGGTGACTCGGGGTCGAGCCCCGTCTCCGCTAGCCACCGCTGGTGGTGGGCCGTCGGAGCCCCCGACCTCTGAGCCATGTACTGCAGCACCCACAGCAGCGTGCGCGGTCCGCGCACTGGCCAGTCAGGCCAAGGGAGCTCGACCATCTGGGCGACCATGACCCGGAAGTCGGCACGCCGCACTCCTCGCGCGTCCCTCACGACGGCGAAGATGCGCGCGTCGCCGCCAGGGCTGGCCTGGGCGCCGCCAGCCGGCACGCCCGCGGGCGCAGGCACTGCGGCAGGCGGCGCGACGCCGGGGGCGGCGACCACGGCAGGCCCGGCTGGCCCAGGGGCCAGCACGCCGAGCCCAGCGGGCGGCGCGGGAGCCCCCCCTGCGACAGGAGCCGCCGGTGCGACCGCAGCAGCGGCTGGAGCTGGCGCCGGGGCGAGTGCGCCACCGGCAGCGCCGCCTGCTCGGCCTCCGAGCGCAGCCACGAGCGCGGCCACTCCGCCGCCCTCCGGGCCTGGCGCACCGCCAGCCGGCAGCGCTAGGGCGCCTGCGGGCGCCGCCGCAGGGGCTGCCGCAGCGGGGGCACGTCCCGCGACGTTGGGCACCACGGGGCCAGCAGGCGCCGCGAGGCCCAGGCGGGCGCAGGCGCGGCCGGCGGCAGCGGTGAGCGCCGCGACAGTGGGGATCGCCCGGAAGCGGTAGTACCGCGCCGCCGGCGCCCACGGGAAGACCCCGCCAGGCGCCCCCCCAGGCAGCAGGTCCCAGTGGAGCACGTCCGCGTTGCCGACCACCTGGTCGTCGTACTCTTCGCCGTCGACCGTGACGATCGCTGCAGTGCCAGGGGTGCCGGGGTTCAGGGCGACCACGACGCGCTCGTGCACGAGCGCCCTCCCACCAACATTATATTGGATGCCGAGGAAGTCCCCGACGGTGACGCCCGCGGCGGCGAGCGAGCCGTGGGCCGGAGGACCAGGCGCCGCCATCAATGGGCAGCGAGAGCACGCTGGCGCAGCACCTTCACCTGTGCGCGGGCCTCTTCACCCAGATCGTCGATCTCGAGGTCACGCCCCGGGCGCAGCCGCGCACCGGCGTAGCCCGCGAGCCGCCGCAGCGCCTGCAGGACCACCGCCGCCGCCACCGCCAGCAGCGCGCCGGCGAGCAGGCCAAGGGCGAACCCGGCCCCGAAGCCCGGCACTCTGCCGAGGCGGGCGAGGGGCAGGGCCCAGCTGCCTCCGGCTCGGCCGCCGCGTGCGGGGCCACCGGGCACGCCAGGCACGACAGCTCCGGCGAGGCGCCGCAGGTCAGCGCCGTGCAGCCCGGGCAGGCCGGGCAGGCCGGGCAGGCTGGGCAGGCCGCGCAGCGCGGCTCGCAGCGGGCGTCGACCGCCTGGCACGCCGGGCAAGATGGGCACGCCGGCGGCCGCGCCAGCCAGACCGCGCCGATCTGCCCCAGCCACGGCGCGGCGAGGCGGACAGCGCCGAGCATCCGCGGCGGAGGAAGGGGCGAAGAGGCGCGCCCCCCAAAAACTTCGAGCCAGATATGAGTACGTCCGACCTGTTGCCTCTGCTCAGCCCTCAGTTGTGAAAACTACCATATACCCTCAAACGGGGCACGGTCGAAGGCGAAAGCGGCGGGCATCGAGGGTTCGGGAAAGACGCGTTGAATGACACTCGAGCAAATAAGAGCGAACAGTCTTCAAATTATTATTGTTGTTTGTTTGTTTGCTTGATTGTTTGCTTGCTTGTTTGTTTGTCTGTATGTGTGTGTTGTTGTTGAACTCTCACTTCTGAAGGATCATTATTTATTGATCCCCCCCGTCCAGTGCACATTGTTTGTTCTCGATTGAAGTGCCCGCCCCCGGACTCGCACCCTGTTTTTTTTATCAGGGAAAATCTTGAGCGTCAAACTGTGTCGCTGGCCCCCCGCACAATTCAACCAGGATCCCCGATCCCGCCCGAGACTTCCTTGCATTTGATTTAGGAATCGCGCTTTCGCTTTGGACTTCCTTACAATGTATGCAGGAATCGCTCTCCCGCCGCTCTGGAGTCGCGCTCTCGCTGGAGACTCGCTTGCAATCTACTGAGTAATGGCGCCCTTGCGGTGCAAATTCTTGTAATTTATTCAAGCGCCGCGCTCCCGACACCCAGGCACCCATGAGTCGCGTTCACGTTTACGAGGCCCTCACAGGTTACCTAAGAATCGGGATCTCGCTGCCCTTCGTGGCCCCGTTCCAGCCCTTCGTGGTCCCGTCGCGTTGTTTCGTGGCCCCGTCGCAGCCCTTCGTGGCCCCCTCGCTGCCCTTGGTGGCCCCGTTGCAACCCCTCGTGGCCTGCTCGCTGCCCTTCGTGGCCCCGTTGCAGCCCTTCGCGGCCCCCTCGCATTGTTTCGCGGCCCCGTTGTAGCCCTTCGTGGCCCCTTCGCTGCCTTTCGTGGCCCCGTCGCAGCCTTTCGTGGCCACGTTGCAGCCCTTCGCGGCCCCCTCGCTGCCCTTCGTGGCCCCATCGCTGCCTTTCGTGGCCCCATATATGTATGCCCTTCGTGGCCCCCGCTCGTTCGCGCCCGTGGTGGCCCCATGTGCATGCCCTTCGTGGCCCCTTTGTCGCCCTTCGTGGCCCCCTCGATACCCTTCGTGGCCCCATTGCTGCCGATTCAGTGGCCCCGTCATTGCCCTCCGCGGCCCAACATACGTATGCCCTTCGTGGCCCCCGCTCGTTCGCGCCCCTTGTGGTCCCGTGTGCATGCCCTTCGTGGCCCCGCTGTCACCGTTTGTGGCCCCCTCACTGTCCTTCGTGGCCCAGCTGCTACCTTCAATGGCCCCGTCGTTGCCTTTGTGGCCCCGCGTGATCTGCCCTTCGTGGCCCCCGATCGTTCGCGCCCGTCGTGGTCCCATGCGCATGCCCTTCGTGGCCCCGTTGTCGCCCTTCGTGGCCCCCTTCCTGCCCTTCGTGGCCCCGCTGTCGCCCTTCGTGGCCCCGTTGCTGCCCTTCGTGGCTCCGTTGGTGCCGTCAGTGGCCCCGTCTTTGCCTTCCGCTCCGCGGCCCAACATAAGTATGCCTTTCGTGGCCCCCGCTCGTTCGAGCTCTTCGTGGCCCCATACGCATTCCCTTCGTGTCCCCGCTGTCGCCGTTCGTGGCCTGCTTCGTGTCCTTGTGGCCCTGTTGTCGTTCTCTTGCTCTCGCTTTCGCTCGTCGTCGTCGTCGCCGTCGCCGTCGCCGTCGCCGTCGTCGCCGTCGTCGTCGTCGTCGTCGTCGTCGTCGTCGTCGTCGTCGTCGTCATCGTCGTCGTCGTCGTAAACGTCGTCGTAAACGTCGTCGTCGTCGTCGTCGTCGTCGTGGTCGGTCCCCTGTCCGTCCCACTTGGGGTCGGGTCGGCGATCCGCGGCCGCCCCGCCGATCAGCGCTGCCGCTGGCCTGGCCGACGGTCCGCGGCCGCCCCGCCGCTTGCCGGGGCCCGGCCTGCAGGGAAGAAAAGCATACCTCCCAAAAGGGGTTCGATCGAAGACGAAAGAGGGCGGGTACCGAGGGTTTGGGATATACGCGTTATTGAACACTCGAGCAAATAAAGCGAACAGTCTTAAAATGAGTGTTGCTGTTGCTGTTGGTGGAATCTCTCTCTCTCTCTCTCTCTCTCTCTCTCTCTCTTATGAAAAACAAATTATTGTTGACCCCCCCTGTCCGGTGCACACTGCTTTTTCTATTGAAGTGCCCTTCCCGGGGCTCGCATCCTGTTTGTTTTTCCTGGGAAAATATTGAAGGTCAAACTGCGTTGTTGGCCCCCGGCTTACAACAACAATGGCTCCCGCCGGAAACTTCTCGCTTGGGACTTCCTTGCAGTTTCCACCGGATCGCGGCTCCCCCTTGATACTTCCTCACAATGTATTGAAGACTCGCGCCCTCGCTTGGAACTTCTTCGCAACTTACCGCCGAATCGTTGTTCCCGCCTAATACGTCCTCACAATTTATTTAGATGCCGGTCCTCGACACTCAGGAATCGCGCCCCCGCTACATATCGCCTGGCGGCTCAAGCAGAATTTGCGCTTCAACGATCCGCTCGCTCGACCCGCCCGTCTGGGCCTGCCCGCCCGACCAGCCCACTATCTCTCGCTGCTCTTCGTGGCCCCGTTGCTGCCCTCAGTGGCCCCGTCGCTGCCCACTGTGGCCCCGCATTATATGTTTTTCGTGGCCCCCGCTCGTTCGCGCCCTTTGTGGCCCCATACGCATGCCCTTCGTAGCACCGCTGTCGTCCTTCGTGGCCCTCTCGCTGCCCTTCGTGGCCCCTTTGCTGCCCTCAGTGGCCCCCGCTGTCGCCTTTTGTGGCCCCATATACGAATGCCATTCGTGGCCCCCGATCGTTCGCGCCCGTCGTGGCCCCATATGCATGCCCTTCGTGGCCCCGCTGTCGCCCTTCGTGGCCCCCTCGCTGCCCTTCGTGGCCCCGGTGCTGCCCTCAGCGTCCCCGTCGCTGCCCTCTGTGGCCTCGGATTTGATGCCCTTCGTGGCCCACGCTGGCTTTTCTCACGATCTACTTGGGAATCGCACTATCGCTCGACACTTCTTCGCGATCCATGCAGGACCCACGCTTCACCAACCCGCCTGCTCGACCTCGTCGTTCGGGCCCGACTTCCCCATCTGCCCGCTATGGGTCTGCCCACCCGATCTGCCCGTTTGGTTATACCACTTGTTTTCTGTTCTTTGCCCCCCCTGCTAATAAGTCTCGTGCTCCATTCTTCTCACTCCTCCTTTCACCTGTCCTCTCTTCCCCTGTTAAAAGGGCTGTATTAAATACACGTGGCTGGTAAGGAAGATATACCCCCAAGGGGTACGATCGAAGACAGGGCGGGTACCGAGGATTTGGGATATACGTATTGGTTGGCACGCGAGCAGATAGGAGCGAACAGTCTCCAAATGATTGTTGTTGTTTGTGTTGTTGTTGTTGTTGTTGCGGTTTGTTGTTTGTGTTGTTGTTGTGTTTGTTGTGGTTGCGTTTGTTGTTGTGTTTGTTTTTATTTGAACTCTCACGTCAAAACATTGATTATTGTTGATGCACCCCACCTGTGCATACTTAATCAAAGTGTGCCCCTCGACGCTCGCACCCTGTGTTTTGACAAGGAAAATCTGGATGCTCAAACTGCGCCCCTGGCTCCTGGGTTACAACAACAACGGTTCCCGCCTGAGACTTCCTCACACTTTAGCCAAGACCCCCGCTCCCGCCCGAGACTTCCTCGCATTTTATGTTGGAATCGCGCTTTCGCTTGGGACGCCCGCGCAATTTATTCAAGAATCGCGTTCCCGGGTCCCGGCGTTCCGGAGTCGCGCCCTCGCTGAAGACTTGCTTGCAATTTACTGACGAATAGCGCCCTTGCGTTGGAATCTCCTCAAATTTATTCAAGCGCCGCGCTCCCGACACCCAGGCGCCCAGGAGTCGCGCTCACGCTCAGGACTCCCTCACATATTACCTAAGGGTCGGGATATCGCTGCCTTTGGTGGCCCCTTCGTGGCCCTGTCCTTTGTGGCCCCGTTGCTGCCCTTCGTGGCCCCCTCGCTGCCGTTCGTGGCCCCGTTGGAGCCCTTCTTGGCCCCCTCGCTGCCCTTCGTGGCCCCGTTGCAGCCCTTCGTGGCCCCCTCGCTCCCCTTCGTGGCCACGTTGCAGCCCTTCGTGGCCCCCTCGCTGCCCTTCGTGGCCCCGTTGCAGCCCATTGTGGCCCCGTTGCGCCTCCTCGCTCCCCTTCGTGGCCCCGTTGCAGCCCTTCGTGGCCCCCTCGCTGCCCTGCGTGGCCCCAAAGACGAATGCCATTCGTGGCCCCCGCTCGTTCGCGCCCGTGGTGGCCCCATGTGCATGCCCTCCGTGGCCCCGCTGTCGCCCTTCGTGGCCC